AGGGAAATGTATATAGGATCTTGTGGTGGCTCACAGCGGAAGAGAATGTTAACAATGGATGTATGTATGTTCATGTATGACTGAAAAACTGTGCTATACACTGGAATTTGACACAACATTGTAAAATGACTATAACTCAATAAAAAAACTTTATATAAAAAAAATAGCTGCACTGGTTAGAACTTGGGGTGGAGACAAGGCTGAAGATTTGACAATCAGTGGCAAAGACACAGAAGTTAAAGCTGCAGGTAGTAGATGAAACCAAGAAGAGTAAGTGGAATTTAAAAAAAAGAAAAAGAAATGGGGGAAGACACCACCAAGCTATGCAAAAAATGAACACCTGAGGGGCAGGACAAGGAAAAGAATCTGGAGATGGAACACTGGGAAAGAGCAGCTTCCCCCTACCCCACCAGGGCAGGCATTCTATTTTGTTCCTATCGTATATTAGGTCTTAAATTTTGAACATAGCAGGAGCCCCAATAAAAGCTGGCACCAAATGATGCCATACCATTGCCACAGCCCACCATGAACACGTTAAAAAGGTTTTTTTTGCCTAAGTTGGCTAAACGCCCTTCTGTTCCGACTGCAGGACAAATTCTGCTATTTCCCTCTTCTAACCCTGGTAGGTGGTGGGAGCTCTGGTCTGCAATTCCTCACTGTTAGAAGCCCGAGAAGCACCTGGCAACTGCATACCTCCTGACTTGAGGAGCCCGCCAGATTCACTTACATTTCTTTGCAGATGACAGAAAAGTATTCTTTCGAGCAGTGACCTGTTATCAACGGCTGTCATTGTTGATGAGGTAAAATGTGTGCCTATGCCTCATATGCACACCACACACCCACACACTGCTTGCTTGGTAGCTCACCCCCTTAAAGCTCATAATAGCCTCCAGGGAGCCATGTTAAAACAGCGCAATTAACTAGAACTGCTATAAACTCAATAACTCACCTACCTAATGAAGCAATACAAGGAAAATTGGACCTGTTTTAATAAGAATTTTTAAAAGAGACAAGAAGTAAAGGTCAAATGCCATTTCTGGATCCCACCTCTTTTCTCCTTCCCTCCTTGTCTGAAGCAGCTGATACCAAGGAGACAACATACACTGCGCTATTCTTCAAAAAACCAAGGAGGTTGCCAATCATGCTATTGCACCCAAGGGCACATTTTTTTCTTTCCAACTCATCCCCCAAGCTAAGCACCTCCCCTGATCTATTTCTGAAGGTTTTATTATACAAACCCGAAAGGATTTCAATGGCAATAATCCTTTTCCGTCTCCACCCCAACTTACAAAAGGAGAACTAAATTACCAGGAATTCTGGGTTTTAGGGGTGGTGTTTGCTTCTCCTCTCCTCTCTAGAGTCTGCTCAATCTAGAGATTCACCTCTCTCAGCCTCTTTTGTTGGCTTTGGGAACAAAGATGTTTTTAGGCCACCCCGCTATTTAGCATGTCACGAGTCCTGACATCCCAGCAAGAATGAGTTTGCCATTCTCATGCAGCTGTCACATAGCAATCAGACCGCAGGCCAATAAAACCCACACTCCCAGTTCTCCCGCAGCCAGTCTCTTTGCCTGGCTTCCCAGTGGCCTCTTAGAAGAATAGGTATGTCTGTCTAAGGCGAGGGTAGGCAGAACTGGAGACAGATTTAGTGCAGGAGAGATCTTAATACTTCTTGAAGTGCCTACTCTATTTCGGGGTCTGTGCTAAGTTTACACGTGTCACCTCACCTGACCCTCACATCCACCTTGTGTGGCAGACCTGGCATTTCACAGATGGGGCAACTAAGGCTCAGAGAGCTTAGGAATTAACCCAAGACCACATGGCTGATAAGCAGTGACCCCATGTGTACCACACCAGGCTATACTGCTACTGTAGGAATCTGAGGACGGTCCTGAGAGGTGACAAGGGCTGAGACTGGACCAGGATGAACTCAACGCTGATACGTGACAAGCCCCTGAGTTTGACAAGAAAAGGAAGAGTGCCGGGCAGCCCTCCAGAGGGCTGGACTGCCAAGCTGATTCCCAGCCCACAGTGCTTTATTAGGAGTTGTTGGATTACCAAAAGCTTGTCATAGGGTGGCTTCACCTATAAGGAAGTTCTATCCATAACATGGCTCTTAAGGGCATGGCTCTAAAGGAGGTGTGGGGGTGGGGGGGTGTTCTGCCATAATTTCTAAGCCCATGAGACAAAGAAAAACTTAAGGCCAGCAATCTACTTGTTTCTGCTTCTAAACAAGCTGGGTCCAAGACCACTCACCCCAGATGTATGACCAACAACTGTCAACTGTATTGTCTCAAACTTGCAAGGTTCTGGGAGAGCCCCCAGTCCATTTTGTCTTCAACGAGCAGTCTTTTAGGGAGGAGGTTGATCATTCATGTGGTCAACGAGTATTTACTGTGCATCCTCCACATGTCAAGCGCCAGGCTAGGCTCTGGGACCCAGTGGTGACAAGGCCACTGGTTTCATAATCTTTTTTTTCAACACTGTTTTAATTGAGTTATAGTCATTTTACAATGTTGTGTCAAATTCCAGTGTAGAGTACAATTTTTCAGTTATACATGAGCATACATACATTCATTGTCACATTCTCTTTTGCTGTGAAGGTTCCATAATCTTAAGGGCTATGAAGTCAAAAGTCCTGGGGCCAAGAGTCCATTTAACAAGAGGCTCTATTCCAGCCTAGGAATCACATTATGCTTCCCTGAGAAAGTGACATCAAAATTAAGGACTTGGAAGATGATTAAAAGCTAGCTAGGCAGGCAGGTCAGAGAAAATTGTTGCAGACGGAGGCAAGAGCATGGTGGAAACCCGGGGGCGGAATGAATGAGGCATGTTTGCAAATGCTCCTGTGCTCTAGCTTACCACACAAACCTGGTCCACTTGCATCAGAAGGGTCAGCACATGAAGAGTAATCCAGAAGATAGGACAAAGAAACCTCGCACAATGCACCCCTGCTCTGCCCTGCTTCCATTCTCACTCTACCATTCATGGTCAGGAGCAGGAGCAGCTAGCAGCAGTGGGAGGTGGCCAGGGCTGTGTTATCTCCTTGGGGTTCATTTCTCTCTGAGTGCCGGTGTATTCAGGACGCAGAGCTCATCCTCACCAGCCATTACAGTCCAAACATGCCTTCCAGGAGCTGTCTTACCAAGCCATTGCCCTCACTAATATAATGTTATGAAATTCCTAATGCAGGTACTCTAAAGCAAATGTACTGTTACCAGCACGCCACCGGGCACATTTTTCAGAAGGAAAACAGCTGCTCACTGAATCTGTCGCTTCTCAGCAACATGCACACAGAGCAAGAGCCTGGTAAGGGCTGTTTTCCTTCACTTTCTTCAAGCATACTGAAGATGCAGCACTAAGTCTCTCAACCGAATCTAGCAGGTCAGCCACACACAGTCCTTGAGGAGTCTCCTGGATTACAGGAAAAAGCCTTGACAACTAGGGCCTGTGCCTTGGGATCTTAAAGTTCAGGTATCAGAGCTTCTAGTTCACTTGTCTAGTTTCTACATTGTATAGACCAGGAAGGAAAATGCAGTTCAGAGAAGTTAAGCAAAAGGTCTAACGTCACACAGCTAGTTAGCTGGAGAACTATAGCTTGCTTCCTTTCTCAGCTGATTTCCTTATCTAAAAAAACAAGGCTACCACCATCTACTTTACGGGTCGGGAGTCCTAAATAAGACAGCACACAATGCAGCAGCACAAGGAATGTAGCAGGTTTTCTATGAATAGTGACTCTCTCCAAAATCTTACCTCTTAGATCTCCAAGACCACCCATTCCCTCTTCCCTAGTCTCACTTTGCTGAATTTCCATTGAGGAAAGAAAAAAGACCAGCAATAGGGTTAACATGTTCATAGTGGGTGTTTGGTTAGTATCTGATTTGAGGTGAATTGAACTCTCTCCGTGTCCTCACAGCTCCAATCTACAGCGCAGGCCAGGCCTGCTGCGTCTGGAGAGCTGATTTGGTCAGAGAGGGTATCACTGGAGGTGATCACGGAAAGCATGTCACATCACCTTCCCTTTAGCCACTTCAAGGAGGAAGAGACTAAGCCAAGTCAATTTGAGGAGAGACAGACAGGAACTCTCAAACTTTTATCTAGGACGGTAAGGAATGCAAAAGATCCTGCAGAGACTGATGCCGTCCTACCAATCACCGATGAGAAAAATTACCCAAACCACGGGACAAATGTCCACTTCTGACAAGACAACCAAATTAGCCAGCTAGCAGTTCAGGTTTTCCCTCCTCTTTCAAACACGCCTCCTCCTCACTCCCCTCTTTGCCATCCCCCCACCACACTATCAAATAACCATCCAACCATGTAAATTCCCTGGTGCAAGTGTCTGTTAGGCTCCAGCAGAACTGTCAATGCTCATAAATCCCGGGCCTTCCAGACTGCACTGCGGCAATTTACTGGGGGGAGGGATGCGGCAGGCCACCGGACAATAGGAGGAGACTGGCCTAGCAGTAACTACTCTGGTTACAGCACCGCAATTCACGGCATTTTGCTGGGAGTGTGTACCATCAGGGAGGAGAAACATAAAAGGGGGAAGCTGGGCTGTAAATAGTTTATTTCGGCAATTCCTGATGTTGGCTGAATCATACTTTAATACAGAAATACACGAAAGCACTCCTCCGGAGGTGACATGTGTTGCCACCTCATTACTCTTTTCAAAAGGGTCTTCCATCAGAGAGACACCTGGCTACAAATTATAGTGAAGAAAACAAAACCTTCACGCATAGACTTATTCACAGGCCAGAAGGAAATGGAACCACTAGGAGTCAAACAAACAGAGAACCAGTGCAACAAAGGCCATCAGTGACCTCAGGTCTCTGGGTTGCTTTTCCATACAGAGAAAAGAAGATGAAAAAGAAAAAGGTAGCACTCTTCCATCTAAGAGTCGTCTCCTCAGCTGCACAACAGAACTTTCATAGTAGCTTCTCATTTCCTCATTTTTCCTAATGCACTTAAATTGGGCTGATTTTCTTCAGTGAACCCTACCTTCATGCTCCTTCTCAGTGGTTCCCACTTTCTTGATCTTCCTGGGAGACTTCATAAAAAGGGGAAAGATGGTTCGTAAGCCAAGAATGTCAACAAACTTGTGGCAATTGTCTGTGCCCTCGGGTCCAATCATGGCATGGTCCAGCACTTTCAGGGCACTGCTCCGGGAGATCTTCTTCTCTCTGGGAACAACAGAGGTTTCATGTGAGGCATTTCATGGGTATATTCTAGCCTTTTTCATTTGGTTTTAAGGTGTATTTACTGAAGTTCTCATAATAATGGAAAAAGAAAAACAAAACAATTAAATGTCCACCAGTGAGAAAATTACTACATTATAGTATATCTACATGAAATATTACACATTCGTTAACAATATAGGAGTCTGTAATAGAATGAACAAATTCTTATGGTCAGAATGCTAAGCACAAAAGATAATATTAAAAATTCTACATGAGGCATTACCTCAATTATGTGAAAAATATGCATTAAGAGAGACCGGGAAGAAAAAGATCAAAATACTAACAGGTTATTTCAGGGTAGAGGGATTATGGATCACCTATTATTCCTTTTCCTTTCTCTTTAACAGCTCTACCAAGATAGAATTCACACAGCAAACAATTCACCCATTTACAATGTACAGTTCAAAGGATTTTAGAATATTCACAGATAATGTGAAACCATCACCACAGTCAATTATAGAACATTTTCATCACCCTAGCAAGAACTCACCTTCCCTTAAGCTATTACCCCATCCTAGCCCTAAACAACCATTGATTTACTTTCTGTCTCTATGGATTTGCCTACGCGAGGCATTTCAAGTAAACAGCACCATACAATATACAGCCTTTCGTGACTGGCTTCTTTCACCTGGCATAATACTTTCAAGGTTCATGTTGGAGCACGTAGCAGAAGTTCACTTTTTCTATCCTTAAATAACAATTGTATGGAGATGTCACAATTTGTCTATCCATTAATCCACTGATGGACATTTGGGGTGTTTTACCTTTTGGCTAGTATGAACAGTAATTATGAATAATGCTACTACAAACATTCACATACACATTTTTGTGTAGAAAAATGTTTTCATTTCTCTTCAGTATATGTATACCTAGGAGTGAAATTGCTGGGGTACCGGGTAACTCTATGTTTAAACCTTTTGAGGAACCGTCAGGCTTTTTCAAAGAGGCTGCACCATTTTAAATTCCCACCAGCAGCATGTAAGCGTTCTGATTTCTCCACATCGTTACCAACACACTCATCATCTGACTTTTTGGTTCCAGCTGTCCTGTTGGGTATGAAATGGGATTTCATTCTGCTTTTGATCTGCATTTCCCTGATAAATCATGATGGCTATTTGTGTATGCTATCTGAAGAGATGTCTATTCAGATCCTTTGCCCATTTTTAAATTAGTTTAACTATCTTTATTACTGAGTTGTAAGACTTCTTTATTCTGGATACAAGTCCTTTAACAATTAAATGATTTGCAAATATTTTCTTCCATTCTAGGTGATAACTTCCCACTTTCTTGATAATGCCCTTCGAAGCATAAAACTTACCTATTTTTTCTTCTGTTGTTTGCTTTTTTGGTGTCACAACTAAGAAACCATTGCCAAACCCAGTATCATGAAGATTTACACCAGTTTTCTTCTAAGAGTTTCATAGTCTTAGTTCTAACATTTAGATCTTTGATTCATTTTGAGTTATTTTTTGTATGTGGTATGAGGTAAGGGTCCAGCTACATTCATTTGCATGTGGATATCCAACTGTCCCAGTACCATTTGATGAAGAAACTATTCTTTCCCCATTTAACGGTCTTGGTAATCTTGTTGAAAATCAACTGATCATAGACACATGGTTCTGGATTCTCAATTGTATTTCATTAAAGTATGCCAGGGCCACACTGTCTAGATTACCACTGCCTTGTAGTAAGTTTTAAAAGTGGGAACCCTACATTGTTCTTTTTAAGACTATTTAGCTATTCTAAGTCCCTTGCAACTCCACATGAATTTTTGGACCAGCTTGTCAATTTCTACAATGAAGTCAGCTAGAATTCTCATAGAAATTGTGCTGAATCTGTAGATTACTTTGGGGAGTACTGCCGTTTTTAACAATATTAAATTTTCTGTCCCATGAATGTGGAATATTTTTCTATTTTATTAGATCTTCTTTAATTTCTTTCTACAATATTTTGTGGTTTTCAGAGTATAATTTTACAGTTCTTTTGTTAAATTTATTCCTAGGTATTTTATTCCTTATGCTATTATAAATGGAATTGTTTTCTTGGTTTCATTTTTGGATTGTTCATTCCAAGTGTATAGACGTACAATTGATTTTGTATATGAATCTTATATCCTGCAACCTTGTTGAACTCATTTGTTACTTCTAATAGATTTTGGTGGATTCCTTAGGATTTTATAAATACAACATCATGTCATTTGCAAACAGAGATAGTTTTACTTCTTCCCTCCCAATCTGGATGCCTTTTACTTCATTTCATTGCCTAATTGCTCCGGCACACCTCTAGTACAATGCTGAATAGAAGTGATGAAGGTGAGTATCCTTGTCTTATTGCTGATCTTAGGGGAAAGGACCCAGTCTTTCACAATGAAATGTAATGTTAACTGTGGATTTTTTACAGAGACTATCTCAAAGGTTGAAAAAGTTCCCTTCTATTCCTAGTTTAAGTCTTTTTATCATGAAAAGGTGTTGGATTTTGTCAAATGCTTTTTTTGTATCTTACTACTCCTTTTGCTACTTTTCAGTGTCTTTCATTTTTCCATAATGAATATAGGGTACTTTTTAGAATTAGAAAAGATAAACTATTAAAAAAATAAAGGTGATTTCCCCCTCAAGTCTAAAGGTCATAGAATAATCCTGCACGGGCTACTACTCTTCTCTAAGGAGTATAATTTTCTATAACCTTACATTGTTTTCTTTGACACTTCATGAGGTAGAGAGGAACAAGTCAGTCATTTCATATCTTAGTATAACTGGTAAATCAACCAACCAAGCCAATTTTCAATATTTACTGAGCACTTAGTATTGTGGCAGACAAAAGAGAAAAACAAAAATTAAAGACATGGTTTCTGCTTTCAAAAACAGTTAAATCTATTTAAGGAGACCAATATGGAATAAGCAAGGAAAAGTATAAGTCAGCATATAATTTTCCCCCATGTATTACTCAATCCACAAATCTTTACTGGATACCTCTTATGTGAACAGGACAGATCAAGTCCCAGTTCTCATGGGGCTTCTATTCTAACTGCAGGAGACAAATGGGAAATCAAGATACCTGACAGTGGTAAATGTCATGGAAACAAAGCAACGTGAAATAATGACTGAAGACGATATTTTAGGTTAGGTTATTAAGGAAGGCCTCTTTAGTAGTAACATTTGTATCGAGAGCTGAGAGATGAAATGAGTTGGTCACGCACATTTTAGGGGCAGAAGGAACAGCAAGTACAAAGGAAATGAGCACGCACATTTTAGGGGCAGAAGGAACAGCAAGTACAAAGGAAATGAGCGGGCATGGCCAAAGAACAGAAGGCTAACATGTTTAAAGCCTACCAAGGATCAGTGTTCCCAGCTTAGATCAGAGAGGGAAGCATGGCCTATATCAAAGGTCATGCCACCTAGTCTTGTGAGATACAATAAGGCCTCCAAGTAAAAAACTGATTCTAGGAGTTATGAAGACACAGTCCAACACGTTTGTTCTGAGACTATTATGTGTTAGTTATTTTAGCATGAGAGAGAGACATTACATGTATTTGGGGGAGTATGGGAAAAGACAGATACACTGTAATACTTGAAAGGTGAGAAAGTAAGAGGGGGGAGTGTGGGCTACTCATTAGTAAAGCCTAGAGAAGAGAGTTCATCAGCTTAAGAGGAAAGTCAGGGTAAGATTTTCTTTTAATTATTATTTTTAAGAATATGGATAATTTAAACATATTTTAAGGCGTCAAGAAGCCAATGGTGATCAGGAAACTAAAGATAATAGAGGGGAGAATTAATAGAGGGAGCAAGGTGGTTGATCAGGCAAGGAGAAACAAGCCTAATCAAAAAGGTGGTAATAACATAACCCAAAGCCATTGTTACCTGAAAGCCAAAGAAGAGGAATCAGAAATGATATCCCTCTTTTGTATAGGAAACACTATTAAAACATTGTACTATTAAAGTGTTAATGATGCAAAGCATGCTATCCTGGGTCAGAAGAGCCAGCCAGGACTGGGTCCTAATGAGTGCAGGAAAGGCAAGTAGACAAAAAGCTTGCTGAAGGCACCTTTTGGTGCTAGATCTTCCCGGTTTACCTGAGACCGTTCCATTTTCAGCACTGAAAGTACAACATCCTGGGGAACCCCTCAGTCCTGGGCAAACCAAGATAGTTGGTCATCCTACCTGGTGCCAACTTCAAAGGATCAGGGATGTATTGTGAATATTTCTGCCTTTATTCCTTTGCTGTGAGACTAATCAGAATAATCCACAGATACTCACAAATGACATTCAACCCAACTACTGAGTTTAAAAGAAAAAAAAAGGTTACCACTAAGCATGCAGGCTCCATGCAGCAGGCACGGCACTAGCTGTTAGGAATTATAAGCTCTCTGTCTTTAACCAATTTAAGAACAGGTAAACAAAAATAATTTCAAAAGCCCGAAGCAATGGAAATTAAATCCAAGGAGGCGAGAGGTAGAGATAACTGACTTTATCCAGGAGAAATCTGCGAAGGTATCAAATGGAAGGTTGACATCTGAACTAAGTCTGAAGAATGAGCATTTGCCAGGCAGAGAAGGGAGAGTGTTGACATGGGTGGTGGTGGTGGGTAAGCTGCATGTGCAAAGGTGCAGGAGGTCTGTAAGAACATGTCACTTGGGGGAACTGGAAGTAGGTATGAATGACCGGGGTGGAAGATGACTGAGGGGAGGTGGGCAGGAACAGGTCACAACAGGCCCTAGATGTGCTGCCAGGGAACCCGGGAGTCTATGCCATAGGTGTTGAGAAACCATGAACTGTTTAAGAAAAGGAGAGCACTACATGGATAGATTTCAGAAAGCTTAATCTGGCAGAAGTGTGACAAAGAGACTGGAGCAACAGAGATTGGGGTCGGGGAGCACAGTTAAGAGAATACGACAAGAGTGCAAGTGAAAACGACAAGGAGTGGTAGTGGTATGAACAAGGCATATT